AGTCGCTATTCACTGCGAGGCGAGCAGCTCCAATTTCAGGCGTAAGCGATAGATCCCAGTTTAGCCAATCTTGTTACAGCATGTTACAGTTTACTCTTATTAACCATATTAATTTTAAGTGCTTTATGCCATTTTTTGACCACGCACGAATATTCTTATGTCCCTATCTTCGCAAGGGAATCAGTGCGAATTCTAATACTAATTAAATGAACAATATAGGTTTTCGAATCTTTTGCTCCCTTTTGCTGCCTCACAAAACTTTAGAGAACTTAACATTTCTATTATCAACAAATTGTAAATAGGATGTTTACATTGGCATTACTAATTTTTCACTTGAGTGTATGGAGGATTGTCAGCTATCACTGAGAGCAGTTAATTAAATGTATTTTTGGATTCACAATCAGACAAATGCAACATAAATTGTTATCTTTGTCTTCTAAGTATATTAATAAACTTTCAGCATAGCTTTCTCCCCGTTTAGATTTATTTTTCTTGGGATTTTGGGATCAAACGTGGAAAGATTAGATTGTAATCATTTTTATTTTTTAAATACATTTTAGAAAAGTGTAATCTATACTAAAAAGCTGTATTTATTTAATACCACTCGATACTTATATTAATGGAGTTTAGTTGATACTGTTTAAATTTTTAATTATTTTAAATTGTATTACAGCATTGTACACATGCTTAAAAGAGAAGAAAACGCAAGCCTTCTTCAGTTATGAGGGTCTTCTGCACAGAATGAAACACTAAAATGTAATGTAGGCTCGAAATGGGCTGCAATCCGGACACAGAAGGATTAAAAGAAGCCAGACAGGCAGGGAGAAGAGTGAGTTCTAACTAAAGAGGTATCCAGGTAACAGTGAAGGTAACAGCCGCAGGCCGCCAGGGTTACCCTACTCTCCCGGAGGAGGCCCACCGGCAAGGTCTGCCCTCGGTGAGGCAGGGAAGGAATAAGCCAGCTCTTCCCGCAGCAGGCAGGGTGTAGCGCTCCTTGCTTAGAATAGCAATATTATGGACAATCAATTGACAATAAATATAGAAAAGCACAAATTATATTTGGGAAATTTGGTTTCAAATTCCTCATATCAACGATGCCTATACTGTTTTCCTCTACAGTATGCTAATCTATTGTAGTGCATTCGCCCCCCTCAAACGATCTTTTAGATTTTTATAGAGAAATAGAGGCTGTACAGTATGCGTTACAATATAAATATTTAATGTCAACCTTTAAATCAACAATTGATCTGTCAAAGCGCAATGAAACCTATTACTCGATTCGTATGGACTCCCGGTCTCACCAGGGATTAAAAAACAACATGGAATCGCGTATCTAAAGAAATAACAGTATACAGTAACTATGTTCATGCACAAACAGTAGCATGTTTCATTATTAATTTGGGGGTCTCCTCTTGCCAGAAAGCGCTAAATTGCATTTTGAGTGCGGTTTTGGACTTTTTTTTTAGTTTCAACCCATAAATAAGCTGATACTGTTTAGACTTTTTTAAAACTATTACAGCAGCACAATGTGCTTTTTCATGAAACCTCCTAGATTAATGAAATGTCTTGCGTTGTAAAGCTTTTCAGCTAAATACTGTGTATTTATCGCTTATAGAATGTTCACTTAAATTTTTTAATGATTAGTTGGAGTTTATTTGACACTGTCAAAATTTATTCTAGCACAAAACCTTTGAAAACCTATGCTAGA